TCATTTCCCTTTTTAATAGGGAAAAGCTAAGCAAGTTGACAAAATGACTGTGTCATTTTCTACTAGGGACCAGCTCTTTTTTCTCTTGCCTCCTTCTCGGTTTCAATTAATTAGCATGACACAACCACAACTAAAGGGTGTATGTGCAAGAGAACTAACACTTAATCAAAGGCTAGAGACACTTATATTGTTTTCACACACGAACTGTGTAACATTAGAAGACAAAGCGAAGGTGAGTTAGATCTGACAAATGACTTGGATGCAGGGTTAGTCATTTTATCAATATTTCAAAGCCTAAGAAAGAAAAATATTTTCTATGTGCATGCATACACATGTATAGAAAGATTCAGAGCAATAAGAACAGGAATAGGAGAACATGTTCCCAGCAAGCTTTAATCTGAGGACATATGGAAATGTACACATGTGATCGGGTGAGGGTACTCTGCTTCCAAATGAGAAAGGAAACAAGTTTATTTTATGAGTAACAGCTAAATGTTCAAGCAGGCAATTAAAGTGTTTTACTGAGGCCATTTTGGGATACCAACACTTTGAAGATTATATATTCTCTCATATTTCATGCTCAATGTTCCTCTAAGTAAAATATGTGGTTCCCTTTAGTTACTCAGTTATGAATTGTACTTTAAAGGCAAGGGGACATTTTTGATAATGCACATCTTAAACTTTTCATTAAACTACCAAATTTAAATTCTACCTTTTTGTGCACTCTGACATTTTTGTCTGGCGTTTTCATTAATTTTGCGACATACATAAATGTAGCTGAAATGTTAACTGATCAATACTTTGTCTCTCTCATGTAGCACTAGAGCGAAGCTCCCCAAGGACCACGCAGCAGTACAGAAATTAAATGTGTAAAATATCAAATGTTAATGTTAAACACAGCAGCACTTACTGTATAACGACTGAAAAGGCTAAAAGAATTCCAAACGGACAGATGGTAGCACAAATTATCTACAATCACATTTAAAGATTAAAGTTTGTCCCATAAAATAATTCATTGACTCACGTTGAAGTGTGTCCTTTTACTGATAGCTCAGTTGTCCAATTATTTTTGTGCTCATTACAGTGAGAAATGACAGTACTGGAAAAAAAGAGTGTACACTTTTTTCCCCCTACATTGCACTCACTGACATCTGCAAGAACACAAATGTCTGGTCAAGAAGCTGATGGAAATTAGGCCCAATTTAGTACACATTTCAGTGCCCACAGTAGATTAATCTAAAGAAAAAACATCCATTTTCGCATACTCTAATGAAGCTCTTCTGCCCAAAACATACCATATTAATTACTGAATTAAAAAATATATAAAAATTAACTGCTAAATAATCCAAAGGTCTGTTTTAAATACAGAAAATCAAGTGAATTTACAGGAAAGGCACTCTACATATTCTATTCTTTTTCCTTGCATTTAGATGTGTAAGAAGCATAGACGCAAGCACGTAGCACATTCTTGATGAGCCTCTAGACATAACAGGGCTGCATGTGATATAATAAAGCTGTTCTGGAACTGAAACATTAATTTAACATTGTTGCTATACACTTCCTTTATTTAACAGGAAATAAATATGAAAAAGGAGGACAGAATATAAAACCTTCCAATGCTTCAAATCTGAAGTCATATTCTGGCCAGATCAACCTATGTTTCATGAACTATTTAGAAATATATTTGAATATCTGAAAAATAACAGCTAATAATGTGTCACAGTTATGTGAGCACAAAAATATAACAAATTATGTCTGTTAAGAGCAGTTACACTTCTGCTGTGAATTACTGAGGCACAGAAAAAGAGGAGTCAAAACTTAGAGGCATTCAGACAAAATCCCAAGGGAAGATGGTTAAGTTTAATGAAGGTCAACAGAAACAGGTAAAATATTGCTTAGTTGAGCAAATGCATAATGTAGAACATTGAAAATTTAACTTCTAGGTTTCTGTACTTCTAGGTACAGCATGGGCAACACCAGTCTTTGAGCTGGTGCCTTTGGACAGATTTGAGAAGGACCATCCTAAACCTTTAATAAAGCATTTCCTTTCCTAAAATGTCCCAAATAATGTAAAGGTTTGGGATGGCTAAGTTCTGGAGTATAAATAATCAGCAAGCCCCTTCAATGAATACTTGTAGTCTCAACGACTGACACTGTGACTCTCCAAGGAGAATGACTTTAAAAAGAGCTGCAGTGAACGCTTCAGCATGTGGAGATGAAGCAGGTAACTGTAGCTTATTGTAGAGTCAACACATTAATCAAGGCTTTCTGTGGATTTCCAAGAGTAGTCCTCCTTTCCAGATCTCTCTCATTAACTACAACTACATTTCTGAAAACTGGGCTAGTCAGCCAGAATTTTTTCACCTGTGGTCTCCCGTAACAGTAGCACCATCAGAAAGCAAAGGCACGGGGTGACGTACGAGACGAGGGTACCTGTAATAGTAACGCCAAGAACTTGGGGCAATGGAAGATCTGAAGAATCAACCCTTAGATATGTAACTTATGTCAAACACCTGTAAATCTGTATCAGGACGTTATTGATCAAGGTACGTCTTCAAATCCAACAGGAAAGAAGAAATGGTTAGTTTAAAAGTTTACTTCTTGTAAATTATTTATTAGTCTGCCTACAGAGCTGGAAACCTCCAGAACAGCCTATTTCTCATGGCCTTTTTGGCACTGACATTTCACTGTGACATCCTCCAACCTCTGGGAGACAACCTCAAGAGGAGATACGATTTGTGTAATAGTGAAGAGATGAAAATGATATATACAAGTAGAGCTTTTTTACAGACTCTCTTAAATTCAAGTGTAACCCTAGTGCAAGCATAATTCAGCATTACACATACAAGAAAAACTCTCAAGATTTTTCAAGGGCCTATGATAGCTATGAAACTCCAGAAACTATTTAAATCCTCACCTCATGACCATGATAAAAGTTCATGTAGATTTGACTTGGCTAGCAAAAACTTATCAATATTTGCCCAGCAGAGGATGATTTGATATTTGGAGAACATGACATCAGGTTGAAAAGCACAGGATACACTTGGCAGGCAGAGCAAGAACACGTCTGTGAAGTCACAGCACTGATGCAGATGTAACATATCTGTAACTACAACAACCACAAAGCAAAACAAATACTAAAAGAAAACTAAGAAAAGCAGGCTTCTGAGACGTGCATATATATAAAATATGAATATATATAAAAATCAAATCAAGTTTCCACTGCAATACACTATAACTACAGTAATGATGTATACTGACTTAGACCCCCCTGCTTAAACTCTGTGTTTTATCTATTTCCAACTACTTACTATGACACTGAATTTCTTCTATGATCAGAAACAATTACAATTTAACAGCAACAACAATTTCTTCCATGGCCACAGCAGCACACCATGAGAAAGAAAGAATTTCATTTGCCCCAAAGAATAGGATGTCTTCCCATTTCCCTTTGTTCCACCAGTAACAGGCAGGTATTCCATATCCATATTAAAATCAGACTTAAGACAGATGAGTATTTACTAACTGGATTAGTAATAGCAACATGAGCATTTGAGTTTTATGTAGAAACCTCCATTTTTCTAAGAAATTTTGACTGTTTTACACTGAAATGACAAATCATCTTTTAAAGTAATGAGTAGCACGTATATTTAGATCTTTGCACATCCTGTAGTTACTCCAGACATCAGGAAAAGTGTACAAAGGCTGAGTGTTTGAACGGCACATGTATCTCCTGTACTCCTGGTGAACATTGCAACCAAGGACCAACAGCGTGCTGCCATCCTTTGACAGGCCACAGGGTTAAATGTTAAATGTTTAACATTTAACATTTTAACAAGTCACATGCTACAAATGGAGCCTTGATAGAAGAAACTTCCTGCAAAACACCATGATTTAGTGTGTGCTCCAGTGCAGTAAAATGCTCCAATGTCTTATCTGATTTCTCCAAATTTCAGGCACCTGAGCTTCAGGCACCCAAGCCAGGAGCACTGTCACCAGATTCCCTCTATAATTATTCAAAGTAAGATCAAAACTATTCCCTGTTCATATTAATGGTGGAGTGGCTCATAACTTCAGTATTTCAGCCAACTTAATAAATCTAGTTATTCCAGAAAGTGTGCCCATGCATACATTTTCACTCCTGGTGGGATGGCTCAGGCAAAAAACAAATGGGGACTCTAGTCTTGTTTGTAGCTCATATGATATTGAAAGTAAAAAGATACCGATCTGGGAAACTCAATGTAATCTACAATTATGCTTAGAATTTTCAAAATTTAACAGGGAAAAAAAGGTTAATTCTAATAAAGCTAATGTTTATGGAGAAATAGCAGATTCATTTAAATCACTAAAAATTAACCCACTATTAATTCACAATTAACTATGACCAGAGCTCAATGTTTGAAAGGTACCAGTTTGTTTGCATTCGTGATTTTAAAGTTGGTTTTGGTTTTTTTTTGGTTTGGTTTGTTATTTTTTCTTTTTTCTTTTTTTTTTTTTTTTTAAACCAAGACCACTAAAACTTAGTAAGGAAGCAACCATTTGGGTCCAGAGCTCTCCACTTCTAAAAAAGTTACAGGTGTAACATATATCAATATGTGGAGGACAAAGTAATGCTAAGTTTACAGTCATAATATGTATAAGAATTTGTGAAGTTTTAGTGTACATATGCAATATAGAAGGTGGCCAAACAAAATTTAACAAAAGAAATGTGGGAGAAGCTCAAGATACATCATTCAGTAGTTCACCGACTGTATTTTGAGTGGTATCACTCGCTTACGTTATTTGTACAACTATAAATTACAACCCCCAACTTTCTATCTTGTTTGTGTGACATTTTAAACTTAATTACTTTTTTAAAAAAGTGAATAAACATGATTTGCAGAATGTCCATAATGCAAAGTTTTAAATAAATAAAATAGAGAAACCCCTAGATCAAAGTGTATTATCTCTCCGTCTAGAACACAAATACACCAGCGTGATTAACAATAATATAAGGAAGATCATACCAAAAAAGCAGCAAGACTTCTTGGGGGAGAATCCCAGTCAAAGCAACTGCTAATGTAGTACGCGGCATTTATGAGCACCATGATACAACGCTTCATCCGGATAAAGTTTCTTAACAGTAGCTGTTAAAAAGATGAAAGAATGAAAATGTTTCAAAACCCCAAAAGCTTCAGAGGAGGCTCACGCTTACGTTATTGCCATTCTTAATTTGGGTGAAGATTGAGAAAATAACATGTTAAGCTCTCTAGCTCACAAACTGAGAAAGATAGTTTAAAATTTGAGAGACTTGGAGGAGAGAGAATTTGTTAGTTGTGTCATCTGATGCTGGTTGAATTTAACTCTAAATGGTACACAAACTACCGTTCAATTTTAAAAGGCCACTTGCAAAATTTCACGAAAGGTTTTGTTATTAAGATTTCAGAGTTTTATTAAGTAGGCGAGACTTTCCCCATTCTCAAGCACTTTTAAATTTTGAATTTTAAATTCACTTTTAAATTTTGAAATACACTTTTAAATTTTTAAATTTAAGAAATTTTGGCCTTTCTTAATGAAAAGATGCTGCAAGACACTAACCTGAACGCATGCAAAATCACTGCTCTAATTGAATTAAGATCACTTGCACCCTCTACATACAATTTTTCCTCCATTTGTAACAAACTTGTCTACAGTGATGTACTTTGATGAGAGGGTTTTAAGTATTTATCAACATAACTTTAACTACATACATTCAATCTATATAGAGACGAGACACAAGCATGCTGGGTTTTGATTCAGGAGAATACCCTTAAATCCTCTAAAATGGCAACAGACTTGACCAAAAAAAGTGAACAAACCAGTGAATGACTTGATTTGTGTACCAAGTCGCACAGAAAATGCTAGACATGTTCGCTCTTGGAAAATGTGGATTTTTAAAATGCAACTGCATCAGTCATAAAGATTCCTTTTTTCCCCTACCTTAAATGGTATTGTGGTGGGGAACCCCGTGCAAGCTAATCTAAAAAACCACCAACCCGAAGTGGGTATTTAAAGTTTGCTCCTCCTGCCATCTGCAAAAATTACAGTGCCATTTTCTGTTATGAAAGGGGTGAGAAGAATGAATCTTGAATAAAAGGCCTTGCTGCTTCTTTGCTGGAATAGATATGCAAAATGCAGCTTTAGTAACTGCATTACTTGCAACAGTAAAGAAAGAAATGTTGCGAATCTTGAAATCTTTTTTAACGAAATACGTCATACAACTGATATAAAATTCATCCAGTAGATAATTTAGATTACACTCAAGCTTATAAGCTTTCAGCAAAATAAAAAACAGTTTTGAGACCTTTGCCTTTTCACTGCAAACAACAAAAATCTTGTTTCCACAGTCAAACCAAAAGCCCAGTTCTCTGCATATAAAATACATCATTTGTGGAACATGAAAAATTGGATCAAAAATAGTTCAAGTGCAGAAAAAGATAAGATGTGAGTTTAAGTATTTTTTACCAAAACATTAAAGCTGTGTGTAGCAAAAATATCCAGAGGAAAAACAAAAAGAGTCCAGACATTTTCTACTCACAGGACTCTCGAAAGTAATAAAGAGTTTTAGTTTGCTTTCACCTTTCATTCAAACCTTACTCAATTAACTTGTTTAAAATTTGGCTAAAAGATTGTTGAAAGACTCTCGACCCTGCAACAAATGGAGATCTTTTGGGTCAAGGTTAGCAGCAAAAATTTATGCAAGACTTAGTTTACATGCACCTGTGCTATAATCTGATATGTGTGGAACCTGATGGTTTCAACTCTGTTCTTATTCACGTATTTCATGGAAATTAAGCTGCAATTTATAGAAGAGACACAATAAACCCATGTATTTTGTTTCTGCCTTTTCCAACCTATCATATTCTTTTGTAAACAGGTAATGAAAATGTTATTCTTTACACTCAGCAGTATGATACCAGATATTTGGATGTGCACACTTGATATTAAGGCTTTTGGAAAGGATTAGTGTTTCCTTACTCTTTACCTGTTTAGACAGTCTGTTTTCCTCTTCAATGTACTTCTGTTCTTTGGGCATTAAGGTTCGTATGCTGGCTTTCACCTACGCATTAAAATGTGTGTCAATATTTCAGGCTTACTCGCTCCTTACTAATAACACATGCTTCAATTTGCAAAAATTACGAAGTTTCCAAGTCATGGCTGCCAAACCCGCGACACACAAACGTACACAGAGGCAGGAGTTGCTGCTCCTTACATTAGCCGCAACGGCAGCGGCAGCAGCAACAAAAAGAGTGGGTGTGCCAGGCAGTGGCAGAGGAGTATTCTGTAGTATACATCAAGGCTTAGGGAAAATGAGGAATGACAGAAATTCTCCACAAATCAGGAACAAAAGCTTTCATGAAACTGAACTCTTTAGCAGTACAAAAAAGCCAAAGTTAAGACTTACAGCATTAAAAATCACATCTATTTCAAGATAGATGACCCCCTTTGTTGGCCCTGTCAGCTGCTTGTTTTTCAAGACGTAGGCTTTCTGTTCACCATTTTGAATCTGCAGGAAAAGGACATGACAGCCGTCTGTCTCGCGGTCTCCGCTGAATACACCCCCCCGGTGACCCCTGACCCCCAGCTGCTGAAACTGACAGAGAACCCAAAACAACTGTGGCAAGTCTGACAAGTACCTGTTCATTACCAGGACCGAGTCTGTCAGGAAAAATTAACTATCATGGGATTCAACATGGCCGTGAATTGAGTATGTTAAAATTTTAGTGTTCTTATTACAGACCTCGGCTGAGAAATGACAGACACAGAGCTGCAAATTTTTTTTTTTCTTTTTTCTTTTTTTTTTTCTTTCCCCCCACCCCCTTCAGCA